GCTCTTTTCGCGCTCTCACTCTCTCACTTTCTCGGCATGGTTCCTCGCTCACCGTTATCTACATGCACTGTATTCAGCTGCAGAGCTCATCATACAATGATCCCTTTCACTCCCCCCACCACGTTCACGCACGTCCAACAACTTCCGATTCCCGACTCTTCCCGACAACCACTCAACGCCGCTATGGTCACCACCCGCATTTCACTCGCCTCTGACTCTCACTTTCCCTTTCAATTTTCTCTCAACTTCCTCCCATCGTTACTATAATGCCGAAATCTGCCCCATCCAAACCCCTTTTGACAACCAAGCCCTACAGCCCACCACAAACGAACGTCAAGAAACGCGGACGTCCTCCAAAGACACACCCCACCAACACCGCTCGATCTGCGCCATTCTCACTACCAAGCTCTACCCCGCACCACAAACAAAGGTCGATAAAAGCCCTACGTGCGCAAAACATTTGCCGTTTCATCAACCATCTTCCTGCCCCATTCACCGCCCCAACTGCCCCCACATCCAATACTTACACCCACATCCTTCAATTAGGGTCCCTTCTGTCCCCAGTACCTGGTCCGAAGCCCAACCTGTACACAGGGCAAGAAGGGGGACTCTGCTGCTTTCGACGATGATCAGCCCGTCTTCGTGTCCGCGTCGCCTTCCCTAAAGAGCCTGCAGTCGAATCTTCCTCGGGCCCCACCAAGAAATCCAGAAAGTAGTCGTCTCTGCCTTTGTCTGTTGTACTATATTCTCGCCCGTCTGCCAACCTCAGTTGCCTTTCCTGTTCATGTTTCCGCCAGACTCACTTCATGTACTTCTTTCCTGCTGCTATCGGCGGTACGTACACGTAATTCGCATTTTGTAATCAGTCTAAAAACTTGCCCGCGAGTTGTCGAGCGGGTCTGAGACTTGTTGCTTATTAGTAGCCGAAATCACAGTTTATACAGCCAGGCTTGTCACACCACATACACATTCGGCCCGGCGGATCACTGGATGATACATCTTTGCTCGCGAGTCTTTTCCTGAGCCTCTGGGCCCTCCTGACCCATTCTAGCCTCTTGAATCTCTGCTCGCCAAGTGATGACCGCCTCTACTGGCCACTGGTCGGGTTGATAGATCATCTTGTCCCTGAGCTATAGTACCATGAGCCTTGCCTGATGACGATAGCGAGGATACTTACCTGCAGCCTATAGACTATATGTGATAGTCTCGTATTCATTTCCAGTATACGTTTCTCGATGGAATCGAGATACCGTTCTTCCATGTTTCGCCGTAAAGTCATGGTGTTGCTCACTTTGATCGGTAGTGAGGTCCTTTTACACTCGCTGTTGCTCTTGTCAAGGAATTTCTCAACAGGCGAAGCATGACTTACTTGGACAGGTCTCTTATAAATTTCAGCACAGGAGGTGAAATAGGAGTGCCATCCGCGTTGGGAGTCATGCTTAACGTCCGTTTGTACATGTTTCTTATTACCATCAAGGTTCTTTCAGCCTGCGAGCTTATATTAGCCAAGCCTTCAGTAACCAGCACACATCCCACCAATCTCATGATAGCTCTTGACCCCACAAGAGCATGTCTCCCACTTTCTCCCAGTTCAAACACGTCCCTCCTCAACTGCCTCACCCCGTCCACCCTCGCCAGATAATCCTTGCTAGTCCTATCTGGAGCCTTGTGCATCTGCTCAATGATGTATTTCAGATAAGGATCATGCCGGTCGAGCTCCCATTTAAATGCATGCCAGAGTTCGCCTTTTTGAAAAGCTGTTTTGGCTTCGGGAGGGATGGGTGGAAGGGGTTTGTTGCGGGTTTTCTTGGGAAGTACCTGCCCGTTTTGGGGAGGTTTGTTGTTTGTGGGAGGATGCTGTTTTTCGCCACTCCCGATGGGCACATATTGCGGCTTGGCGACTTTTGATTTTTCGCCGGCACGTTTGCCTGCAGGTCGACGAGTGCGGCGGGTGCGAACGCCGCCAGGCATCTGGGCTGATGGGTATTGTCGATGAGTAGACTGTAGCAGGGAGATATGGAGCGGGTGCCCGAGAGGAGCCAGGATTGAGTATTTGTAGCCATCGCTGGCAGGAAGAGGGACTTGCGGGGGCGCTGAGGAGCAGCTGCCAAGCCAGAACGAACGAGCGCCTTGCGTCAAGTGTGCAGTCGTGTGGTCGGGAGGAACGTGTATATTCCAATCGGCAGTTCCAGAAGCCCGTAAGGTATCGTCTGACTCTGCCTGGCATTTTTGGTATTGGATGAGCGAGTGTCATCATTCGCGTAATAACGACTTGGGGAAAAAGTCGCTTTCACAGCGCTCGTTCAGACATCATATGAATGATTATACCGTCCATACGTCTGCATCGTAAGATACAAGTAGCCATCTACGTCATCCGCATGCACTTTACTCTTCCAACATATGCTTCTGTTCCGCCACCACAAACCCCATCTTGCCCGTCCTCACCCCCGTCTCCAAATTCCTCAAACAAACCGCCTCCATCTCCTCCTGCGTCTCCACCGTCACCGTCCCTACATGCGGTAAACACACCGCCCTCGGATCATCCAAAAGCTCCTTCGGTATCTTGGGCTCATTTTCATACACATCCAACCCCACGCCTGCCAGCTTGTTGTCTTTCAAAGCCTGGATCAGGGCGGTTTCGTCGATGATGGGGCCTCGGGCGGTGTTGATCAAGACGGCGGTGGGTTTCAGGAGGTCGAATTGGGGGGTGGAGATGAGGTGGTGGGTGGAAGGCGTGAGGGGGAGGTTGAGGGAGATGACGTCGGACGTCTTGAGAAGCTCCTCCAGAGAGCCCACATACCGCACATCTAGCTCCTTCTCCTTTCCAGCATCCACCCTCTTCCTGTTGTGGTAGACCACCTGCATCCCCAGCGCCTTCGCTCGCACCGCCAACGCACTGCCTATACCGCCCATCCCGACGATACCGAGCACCTTGCCTTTGGGATCGTTTGACAAGGGGAGCGCGGAATTGAAGGTGCCAGCTTGGGCGTGGGCAAGGGCAAGTGGGAATTGGCGAAGGACAGAGAGGATGAGGAAGATAGCGGTATCGGCAGTGGCGCCGTCGACGGCGGTGGGGACGTTGGAGACTTGAATCTTGCGGGATGTGCAGGATGGGATGTCGACTGAAAGGTGGTGAGCCCTGTGGTCATTCGAAGTGAGGGAACATACTTTGATCACTGCAAAGAATGGTCAGATACTGGGCAGTAACGCTGAGAAATGACTTACTATCCAGCTCCGTTGTGCGCTATGAATCGCAGACTTTCGGCAAGGTGGGAGACAAGTCTTCGTCAAAACGACCTGTTATCTAGTGTGGGTATTAGCGCCATCGGGTGGGAATTGTGGAGTTGAACATACCTTGATCGATTCGGATGCTTTGAAATGACGGTAGATACCGGTGACATCCTTGTACTTTGTGCCGAGGTCTTGAATGAAATTGTCCCTGTTCTTGCTCGTGTTTGGCTACAGGAGTATACGATGGTCAGCGCACGTTTAGCTGAGAGAGCTGAATAGCGACTGACGATTATTGTGGCTATCTTACTCAAAGCGGCCAGCTGCGATTTTGCGAGCTTGATGGAGTCTAGAAAGAGGATATTGGGGTCCGGCGAGAGTGTCATCGTATTCGGAAGGATGAAGGGAGTCTTCGCAAGAAAACGTATATGAGCCGCCTTATCTGAATTTACCAGCTCGCGCCCGTCGGCAAACGCGGCTTCGGCTCCGCGATTACGGATCATAGAAAGATAAGAGATCAGGCTCCAGCTGCGTGTGAGAGTTGATAGAGAAATTGTCGGATGAGTGACAAATGGCATGCACACTTGATGGTAGAGACATTCATCGCCTGTCGCTACCGTCTACAAGGAGCAAGCGCCGGCTGGCTGTCGAGCAATCGGAGAGAATAGAAGAGCGTATGGATAGAAAAATAGTCAGTGACAGGGTAAGTACACCCTCAGCTGTAAAAGCACTGAGATGTGCATGGACTCGACGAATAGCTGCTGAAAGATGTGCATATGCAACGAAATTGCAAGAGTTCATAGGCGCACCGCGGTACCTGCAATCTGATCCCGTCGCACCGGTCCGCCGAGGTCACCGGCCAATCACCGGCTGTTTTCTTTCATTTCTTGTATTTCCAGTCCCAAGCATCAACAGGCTATTCGACATGACTCTCGCACGAGGATCCAAGGTGCTCTTTTTGGACTCTATCAAGCTCGCAAAGACACAGCTTGCCGCCTTCCAGAAGGTCGCGACCGTTGTTGTGAGTCCTGCATTATTCGACTTGCATTTGCATTCTGTACTGACTATACTATCTCCAGCCGAACACAAGCACCACCCGGGAACAGTTCATCTCCGACCTTGGGACAAAGTACAAAGATGTGTCTGGCATATACCGCCATTTCAAGGCGTCCGAGTCTATCAAAGTATGTTTCCGAGCACGTCGCCTCTGCGCCATCGTCTCTATTGACGTTTTCCCGGGATTACTGCTGATAGTTTGATAGATCACTGGACGGTTTGATCAAGAGCTTGTCTCCAAACTGCCTCGAAGCTTGAAGTTTATCGCTCATAATGGCGCCGGATAGTGAGGCTTTCCTCGCCCGAGCTCTAGACGATACTAGTCGCTGACCATTTCATGTAGTGACCAGAGTAAGATCTACCGCCTAAATCACTGTACTTAATTCACCACCGTGTAGTCGACATCCCAGCCTGTACCACCCGCAATGTTCAAGTTTCCAACGTCCCCACCGCCGTCGACGGCGCCACTGCCGATACCGCTATCTTCCTCATCCTCTCTGTCCTTCGCCATTTCCCACTTGCCCTTGCCCACGCCCAAGCTGGCACCTTCAATTCCGCGCTCCCCTTGTCAAACGATCCCAAAGGCAAGGTACTCGGTATCGTCGGGATGGGCGGTATAGGCAGTGCGTTGGCGGTGCGAGCGAAGGCGCTGGGGATGCAGGTGGTCTACCACAACAGGAAGAGGGTGGATGCTGGAAAGGAGAAGGAGCTAGATGTGCGGTATGTGGGCTCTCTGGAGGAGCTTCTCAAGACGTCCGACGTCATCTCCCTCAACCTCCCCCTCACGCCTTCCACCCACCACCTCATCTCCACCCCCCAATTCGACCTCCTGAAACCCACCGCCGTCTTGATCAACACCGCCCGAGGCCCCATCATCGACGAAACCGCCCTGATCCAGGCTTTGAAAGACAACAAGCTGGCAGGCGTGGGGTTGGATGTGTATGAAAATGAGCCCAAGATACCGAAGGAGCTTTTGGATGATCCGAGGGCGGTGTGTTTACCGCATGTGGGGACGGTGACGGTGGAGACGCAGGAGGAGATGGAGGCGGTTTGTTTGAGGAATTTGGAGACGGGGTTGAGGACGGGCAAGATGGGGTTCGTTGTGGCGGAGCAGAAGCAGCTGTTGGAAGAGTAGACGGTAGATGGTTAGGATCGAGGCACGTCCTTGATGGAAGGTATCCTGCATGTTCGCATTGGGATGCTGAAGAGCGTGGCAGAGATGGATGCATATGCTCTATCATCAACACAGATAGAGAGTTGATAGTTGCAAATCGCGTCAACCGTAATCAGCACAAACATCTCCCGAGTTCATCAACGGCATCAAAGGGTCATTAGAACACACACTGCCGGTCTTGACGACCAATGCAGATATTTACCTTCATGTTGCATCTTTCTCTTCCATACAATCACCCATCGGCACTCACTCCCGAAGGAGCTCGCGAGACCCTCACAGCAACATGAGATCACTCGGTTTGCTCTTGAGCGACAGCGCTTACGGAGACATCCTGGCAAACGTTTTCGCCCACCTCACCACCATACGGGACCGAACTTCTGCTAATCTAGTGAGCGGTGACCTAAATGGAAGTACGTCGTGCTGATACAAGCTCCACAAATCAGCAAACAATGCCATAATCAATTCAACGTCGTACGAGCTTCAGCTTGACCACGTCCGCAAGAAGCTGTCTCTCTTGCCTGGCACCGCAATCACCTCCGCCGCCATTCAGAGCAACGACACTTTACATACACAGGACGACCATGCAAATTCTTTACTGACGCTGATGCTTCACAACACTCGCCATCTTCCACACAAGTCACACTTCGATCCGATCATCTTGAGATGGTGCAGATGTATCTTGGGTCGACTTAGCAGCTCAAAAGTCCGCTTTGGAGCCGTCACTGCGCGACACAGGTTAGCCCATAAATCCAAATGACTGTAAAGGTTTATAATGCAAAGGCGGACTCACTTGTTCCACATCCACCCGGAAGTCTCTTCCTTGGTGCTGGTGTCGATCAATTTGACGATACCAGCTGCGCGAAAACGCTTCCGTAAGCACTGGGCAGAGAAGGATGAGATGAAGAGACACTTACGGATAACATCATCAACAGTCACTGGCTGGATAGGAAGCTTGCTAAAGTCGCCGTCCCAGGTTTCGCGGGACATCTTGCTAGAGACATACTGTCAGCAAATTTGAACAAGTACGAGGGGTAACCAGTGAGCGCACGTGTTGACTGAACCAGGATGGATAGTAAATGCTTTGAGAGTGGGCTCCTCGTAGTGGATTGTACGAACCTAAATGATGTATCAGTACATGCTACAAAAGATTTTGGCGTAGCTCACGAGGTAGTTGACTGCCGCTTTGCTAGCTCCATACAAACCGATATCCTCCCAGAAGAAAGTCCTCTGCAATGACCCAGCAAGACTAGAGATGACCACAAAGGTCCCATTGTCCTTCAACAGTGGTCTAGTAGCTTGGTATAGCACGAGAGGTCCTCGGGTATTCACTTGGTAGACATAGTCGAATTCGGTGGGAGAGGCTTTGGTGAGAAGGGCGCGAGAACCTGCGGTAGCAGAGTTGGCGACGACGATGTCAAAGTGGGTTATGTTATGTTTAGTCTTGAGCTCCTCGATGATCTGTGGGATAGTGTCAGTGGGATTCTTGGTTATACGGGGCTACGCACATTATGGAAGTCGGTCAAAGAAGATTGGTCAGCCTTGACTGTAATTACGCTGCCTTCGAGATTGGGACCCTTTTCGGGGCTACGAATGGCAGCGACGACGGTCCAGCCTTGTTTGAGATAGTGTTTGGCGATCCCCTCGCCAATACTGTCAACGGATCAGTAAATATATAGAAAGGAATTAAGTGGCGACACTCACCCTTGAGAAGTACCGGTGATGAGGATGACTTTGTCTTAGCTGTTTGAGATCATGACGTGAGATTGGCTGTAGATTTGTATGCGCTAGTTTGACAGGGGACGAGGAAGTGTTTTATCAGCTTCAAAGCGTGGTATATATCGCTGAATATAATGATTGATCAGCTAGAGTGTGAAGCAAACACACCATGGCGCAACAGATGCTTGCTCAGCTGTAAGGCACGTTGACCGTCGGCAACATGACAAATTTCTGCTGCCAGAATTGATCAGCAGCTTACTACAAGGGAATGACTCTGAATCAACAAATGCCAGATCGACGGTCATCATCCTCACTGGCGTGGCGCGGTCCCGATTTAGGCGTCGTACGTGTTGAAGCACCCTGCGGCGATATGTGCGTTACCTGAAGAGTAGCCTGGGACCGACCTGAAGCATGCCTGCGGTGCTTAGTGTTGGCCGAAGGTGCGTTGAGTCACTGGCCGGGGGAATCACCAGCAGAGACGACGCATAGCGTAAAGTATTAGTCCGATTCGCCAGTCAATGGCATTACTTTCGGGCGGCTTCTTTTTCAACATACCCCAGCATTTTTACCATGATGGGATTCGTCGGCTTCCGCCGTTCGCTGGCCGTCTGCTGGCCGTTCGCGTTCGCGCTCGTCGTCAAATATTTTTCTCAAGTATTGCATCTTTCGTCTCCAATCTTTTCCATCGGCATGTCCCCCCTCCAGCCACTCTTCTCCCAGAGCGCCTATGCAGAGGTGCTCATAGGGATATTCGACTGCTTGACGCTGCGAGAAGTAGTATCCTTGATCCGAGTGAGTCGCGGCGCGTCCCAGCCCTTTACACCCACTGACAGCGCCCAGGTCAACAAATATATCCACCATGTTTTCACCAATTCTTCCTCCCTCCAACTCGCACATACCCAAAGACTCCTCTCCGTCCCACCCTCCGCATCCGACCAGACAGCCGCCCCGGCCGACAGACTGTCCGCTCTCAAGGAGCGACAACGGCGCATGGACGAGCTGGACCCTTCGTGCATAAAGTCTATCAGAAAGGAGCTGAATGCCGATGTGGTTGGATTCGGGAATGGCATGCTGCTGTTCCATGTTGAAGGAGAGAATTCGAAGAAGCGCAAGAGGACTCTCGAACAGATCCAGGAGGAGCACAGGCGGCGGGTCAAGATATGGGTTGCCGACGAAGACGATGACGAAGGGGATCATCTTGACTCGCCCGAGCCTCATGAAAGATGTCAAGCAGATAAATCATCAGATTCGGGATACGACCTCGAAGACGACCCTCACAACCAATTTGCAGGGGACAGCTGCGCTGGCGAGTCGTCAGACGGGTGGGATGTTTACCGTGCGCCAGGAGCGGCTTCGGACAGGGACTCGGTAGATCGTGGCGGGGTAAAGGACCAAGGTTTGTGGCACTGGAAAACGCGCACCACGACCGAGATCCAAAACCTCCAGCTTTGCGGAGAAGATAACCTCGTTGCTTTGTTGTAAGTGACCGCTATGAGACTGTTAACTGGACCGTACTAACTTGTGTCATAGGCAGAAAGGCGCCTACAACTCTTGTCTCTCTGTCCGGATCACATTTTGCTCGGCTCTTCCTCCTCTCGGCACCCCCGCCCCCGAGAAAGGCTTCTTGGATCCCATCCCCCATCCTGACGCTGCCCTGCCGTTCATCGAGCTCTTGTTCCCTGTCCATTTGGGTGCGTTAGAAACGGATGTGTTGTTCGGCCCGGGTGGACAAATGTCAATTTTGATCAATGAACGTGACTCGTTCAAGACAATCTTTGGAGGTGTTTGGGATTGGAAAAAGGGCGTCAGTCTTGGTGTAAGTATGTTGCTCATATAAGAACTTTCAGCTGATATTGTATAGTCCATACCTATCGCGGAAAACCAAAATATATCCATAGTCAGCCCATGCGGCCCTTTCGCCTTTACTGCCTCTGCTCGCCGTATTCCGCCCTCTACTTCTCCAGACACGTACGCGAAAGCTATGGCTGCTCTTCAACTTCCTCCAGCCGCCATCCCCGACGAGCTTGAAGGCTTCCTACAATACTCCTTCGATGCCCACATCCTCTTCCCTTCCTCCCTCGGCTTCCCAGCGACGCCTGACCCGCCGGACGCGAATCCTCATGCGCAGGCGTACCCGAATAAGAGCTGTAGCTGGTACACTCCTGATATACCGCCTGCTTTCCTTGTGGCACAGTTCAACCTGCCGCTTGAGAAACTCATTCCCTACACTCTGGCTGCCGCCTATCAGCCCGGAGCGTTTAGCATCCACGACCTGGACTATTCCCCTGCCGTCCACAATTCCGAATCTCTTGGGATCTTTACTTGGGGTTTGTGGGGCAAGACGCATGTTGCCGACTTGTCTGCTCTCCTCGGCGTTGCTACGGATCTCTCCTTCCGGTTGGCCATGGCGGAAATGGTGCACAGGCGGGGAGACGAGATGGTCCGGCTTCGGGAATTGTTGCCAAACTCTGCGAGGGACCAGCCGACTGATATAGCGGGGAAAGCGTCGATGGCTCTTGTCTTGATGAGATATGAGAGACGGGTTGCAGAGGATGGGCGTTGGAGAGAGGTGCATGCTGAAGATTCGGAAGCGGGCGACGGAGGCTCCGAGAGCGGGGCGGAAGATGACTCGGGTGACAAGGCGAGCGACGACAGCGACAGTGACAAGGCGAGCGACGACAGCGACAGCGACAAGGACGATTCGAATACCAACTTTATCGACTCGGTCCTCGGCAAAGATTTTATGGCATCTTTCAAATCTGCCTGTTCCCGCCGCCTACCCCAACCCACTCCCAACGCTACCACCTCGACCTCCCACCCCACCCCCGACCCTCATTCGACAGATAGCCCTTCGTCTCCGGCTTCACCCCCAACAAAGCCTCTGCCAAACTATCTTCAAGGCGATGTCACCTCCTTCTTATCTCTCGCGACCGTGCCCGTACTACCGTATAACGAGTGGAGCCAGTCCAGCCATATGCGCATGGGCTCTGAATCGACGCTTGCGAGCGCGTATGGGTCGAGGGAGGCGAGGCTTGTGCCTGTCCATCTGTGGGACGAGGAGGATGAGGAGGAAGACGAACAAGACCGAAATTCGACGTTTGTGCTGAGCCTGAGCGATTATAACGAGAGTACGCTTGCGGAGGGTGTTCGGGCCAAGAGGAGGGTGGCGGGGAGACGGAAGAGGGAGGTGGAATCGTTCAAGGCGTTGGTGCGCGATGTGCCGGATGTCGATGACGTTATCGCTGTCGCTTCTCGCAAGACCAAGGTCGACAAGAAACTCTCGGATATCCGCAAAAAGCTCGGCAAAATTGACGCTCGGGTCAATATCGAGAGGGAGGAGATGGAGCGGATGCTACATGAGATACGTGAAAAGGGAGAGGAGGGAGAAGATGTAGAAGACCCGAGGGCAAGGGCTGCGATGGAATCGGTGGAAGCGCAGGCGCAGCGTTTGATGGGGGTGGCGGAGGAGAGGGAGGAGGTTGCGTGGTTGTTTGAGGAGTTGAAAGGGCTGGCGGTTGTATATGGGGTGGCGGAGGAGGGGGAGGGAGAAAAGGTGGAGGAGGCGCCAGCCAGCCCGGGCTTCGACGATGCGCCTGCTTCGCCCTCGAATGCTCGCCACCAACCCAATCAGCCACCCCCGCCATACCTCACCCTCACCCTGAACCATCCCCGCAAACCCACGTCTTCCGACTCTTACGGCGTTCCCTCTACCACCCGCACCCTGATCCCCACCACCAGTCCCAACATGCCCGAGGTTCTGAAAGACTACTATGAGGATATCAAGGATCAGGATCAGTGCGAAGGGACGTTCTTCATGAAGCGGTCAAAGGAGATGGTGGTGGAGATGGAGATGGAGATGGTGAGGCCGCCGCTGGTGATGTTGGATGGGAGGTCGTTGGTTTTGGGGGGATTTACGGTATGTGATCTTTCGTTGTTGGAATGGTGGGGTGTGCTGATGATGAGGTAGCCTTACGAGTATCATGTGATCAACTTTTAATGACAATAACGAGTAGGATGTCGATAACAAGCACCGATGCGCCACATGTATATCACAATACTGCTCCATCTACTGCGGATAATTCTTGTCATGTTGTATACAAGTATGGTACAGATTACACGACATGACAAAGCTTGCTCCTCACGGGCACATTCCTATCTGTATAGTCCGGGAACCCCTCAAGCTCGACACCCTTCTCAAACAACACACAATGCGTCGATCCGCCGAAATGGAACATGCTGCTTGCTATCAGCGCTAATCCCAAGGTATACTTGTACGAACGACTTGCCCAGTCTGATCGCCCTTCTTGACCCTATCCCCTTCCTTGACAGTAATCTCACACGTACTAACTTCCGTCATGCCGATACCCAGGAAGGCCACCGTGCCGAGGCGGTTATCACCCGCTTCGATAAAGATGACGGCCCTCGTCGCTGTTGCCGAGAGATACTCCTGACTCGTCGTCTCCCCATGCACGTCCGCCTCCTTCCCCTTCCCTCCTCCTCCTGCTTTGGCATTTTGGTCAAAATCGACAAAGAGGGGCTCGGAAAAGTATGTGCCCTGGATGATGTATGCTTTTACAACAGTACCAGAGACGGGGGCGTGCCAGCGGTGATAAGAGAGGGCGGAGAGGAAAGCTTGGTAGATCGTTCCGCCGATGTACTGGGAAGAGAGAGGGTCGAAGGCGAGGATGTCGAGGACGGAATATGGCTGGCCTTTGACCCAGAATTGGTCTCGCGCTTTGATATCACGGGCGACTTTGTAGAATGTGCTTTCGCAGGCGTTTGCGACGACCCCGTCGTCTGAGGGGGAAGCGACGGGGCGGACGGTGTCTTTGAAGCGGCGGGTGAAGAATGCGTCCCAGGATGCGTAACCGTGGTGAGGGAGGGAGGGGTCGGAGTGGTAGAATTCTGAGAAGGAGTAAGAGGTGGAGAGGGGGGCATTGGCGACGGACATGAGGGAGGGTTTGCCGATGGGGCCGAGCCAGTCGTGCGGGCCGGTGCCGAGGACGTAGGCAGAGGAAGGGGAGGAGAGGAAGGCGCCCCAGACGTTGAGGATCTTTTTGAGCTGCTTGACCGTCAGCGTGTTGTCGTTAAGAGGACGGAGGGGGGGACGTACATGCTCGTTCACTTCAGGATCTTGGAAAACACAGAACCCAGCGCTTGTACCCATGGGCCAGTCGAGCAAGGCGTTGACGGGGACACCGACGATGCCCACTTTGTGAGCAGCCTCGGTCCAGCGAGGAGCGGTGGAGATGACATGGTTGAGAAGCTGGAGGAGGTGATCGAAATCGCGGACTTGGTTCTCGCCAGAGGGGTCTTTGAGGTACTCTTTGCCCGCTGGGATCTACGCCAAGTCAGCTTGGTACCCTCGCCAAAAGACGAGAACTTACTTGTTGGAACATCAAATTAAAGAGCATGGTGAGCCTAGTGCTCTTCTCGACGGTGGCTTTGAAGCCTTGGAGTACGGGGTGGAGGGGCTTGGGGTTTTGGTCGACGTGCTGGACGGTGTCGTTGAGGAATTTGTGGTGGTGCCTCTTGTCGGAGGACATCCAGCCGCCGTCCTGCCATGTATTATCAGCTGGTGCTGCATGTATAGGCAGGGACGTACGCGGTGGACATGGTGTTCTTTGGGGGTGTCTGTCATTGCGGTCGTGGAGATGTAGAGATGGTTGCAGGAAGGGTATTCATAGACTCCTCCTCCACCGATGACGTTGTTGCGATGCGCCTGCGAGATGGAGAATGTGGATGGAGTGAGCCCAAAAGAGCCCTGTATGCTCATCTTGTCGAGTAATTCCATTGCAAGGGATATTCTGCACTACAGCAGAACCAAACAGCAGCCAGTGCACCCCATGCATAGAGTACAGCACCCCGTAGGGCCCGTATAGTAATACGTAGTGAACTGCCCGACGGCCATGCCCACTTACGTAACAAACTGGCACGCCTTCCAGCCGTGTGGGCGGGATCAAATATAGGCGTGCGAGTTGCCACCCTGGATGACACCGGCGTCAATGCGCGTCTTGCTCTCTTCATCTCGATAACACGTACGTACGAGGGTAAGAGGGTAAGAGGTGTATAGTGGACACCGCTGACCCCCACAGCCGTCCCGTTTCTGCCCATCCACCCCCCGTACGCACCCCTGCTCCCCGCTCTCCACAGACACTCACCCCCTGCAGTATCACCAGCCCTTATACTATCCGCAATGGTCAGGAGCAAATTCAAGGACGAGCACCCCTTCGGTACGCCACTCTTTCCCATCCCCCTCTCGCCGGGTGCACCAGCTGCGGCATGGGCACGTGGCGGGATGGTACCGGTACCGAGGGACGACCCCGCTGATAAGCGTTTGTAGACAAGAGGAAGGCGGAAGCAGAGAGGATCAGGCAAAAGTACCAGGACCGTATTCCGGTGAGTGTGTCTTCTTGGAGAGTGATGGATGGGGCGGATGAGAGGGGGTGCCGGATGGGTCTTGTATCGCGAACGAAGGCGGGAGGCGTGTTTGGGCGCGGGACGTGTTGGCGGAATGCTCGGCGGGTCTTTGGCGCGCAGGGACAAAGGAGCTGTTGAACCATCGCTGACTTGCCGTAGGTTATCTGCGAAAAGGCCGAGAAGAGTGATATCCCGACAATCGACAAGAAGAAGTATCTCGTCCCCGCTGTACGTCCCTCCCTCTCGCCCTCTCCCTCGCATTTGGACGCGGCTGACAGAGTACGTAGGATCTCACGGTCGGCCAATTCGTCTACGTCATCCGCAAACGTATCAAGCTCGCCCCCGAAAAGGCCATCTTTATCTTTGTCGACGATATCCTCCCGCCCACGGCGGCTCTGATGAGTTCGATCTATGACGAGCACAAGGATGAGGATGGTACGTCTATTCTTTCAAAGGGGAGGGGTGCGGGCTGATGGAGAGTAGGATTCCTTTATGTGCTGTATGCGTCGGAGAATACGTTTGGCGAGCTCGAGCAGTACGCTGTCGAGGATTTCGAGTAGATCCAACCCGCCCCTCCCCCCCCCCCCCCCCCCCCCCCCCCCCCCCGCTCGACTTTTTCCATCTCTTCCCCCACTCAGCTTGGCGAGAATGGACCCATATTTGGACGATGGGGTGTACTATCAGGAAGAAGTGAATGGGCGGGAAGGATGTTGAGCGGGAAGGCGAGATTTGTGTTTGGGACGGAACTCTTTTTTGTGTATGACTTTTTCTCTTTTGTATCATTGGAAATGGAAATAAACTACTCTTTATCTTGAAGCTGCCATCGCGGAGTGTGATTATAAAAAACAAGTAATCAGGCAAATGACTCTTGACGCGAAAAGAATATACTACTGCGACCCTCCAGTCTTCTCACTCCTTCTCTCCGCCGTATTCCCCCCCTCGCCCCGTCTCCACCCCCTTATCACCCTCTCGCTCCTCCTCGGGCAAACTCCTCTGCAAATCACCCAACCTCGCGTCCCTCAACAACAACGCAATCCCCACAATCAGAGTACTCGAGTAAATCCCCGTAATCGTCACATAGAGTACCGCTGCACCTCCCTCCCTATACGCCTCTCCCACCGCTTCCCGGCCTCCCTCACATCCGTCCCCGGCGGGTACGTAATTGGTCGTGAACTCGTGACGGGGTCGGCGAAAGCCGTTTCAGCGAGGGTGGAGACTGGAGGCAGAGGCGGCGGGGAGGGGATGGAGTGGTGGCGGGTGAGGGAGGCGAGGGGGTGGGAAGGGCATGGTGTGGGGTCCAGATGGCAACCGGCCATGGTGTTGCCGAAGGGCGGAGCCGATGGAGTAGGAGGGGAGGTAGAGGGAGGTGGCGGTTACGGTGGCGGTGCGTTCGTGGGAGACGGCGCGTTGGATCAAAACCTGGGTATGGGTAGGGGAACACGCCTTCATCGTGATCTCTCGTAATACTCCTCTTCTTCGTCCTCGTCCTCGTCTCTCATATGCATATTAGGGGCTACTCGTCTGCACTCGACTCACCTTGTCCAACCGTACTCCAATCAATTACTCGTGCTAATCATACATTTGTTGGTAATGTAATGCCTTGCCTTATGCTACGCCTTGTTGTCTTTGTTACTGAATGTTGACTTACTTTTCAATCGCTTAATCCGTCCTTGACACCTTCACCTCACTGTCCAACATGGAAACCGAGATAATCATCAGTAGATACATCACACACATAATCGTTTGTCATTTTGTGACGCCTTCAAGTGAATAAGAGCATGGTGAAGACGAAAACACTCGACGCCGCTCGTAGTGCGCCATAAGCGGTGAGCTCGCGAGTTACTCGCTGCGAACGACTGGTGGAGAACTCGCCTGGCCCTGCTTCCATACATGGATACGTATAAATGGAAATGAGCTACAAGCTTGGTATTTCACTCCTCGAATATCGATTATTATCGTTGAGTCCTAGGTGATGAGTCCGAGGAGTAGGATAGGTCGTGACACATTTTCTCCATCCGCTGCGTCCGTGGTTGCCACTCATCTCTGACGCATGACTTCGTGCTCGACTGGACTTTGTAGTCACCCGACATGTTTTTTGTCGCCCGAAACAAGAATGATATTTGCGATACCCATCACCCTTCTTGCAGCAACGATGGCATAAATTGTGGATAGCAGTTGATGACATGTGCGATGACTGATGAATAGAGGGTGTGGATGAGTTATGTAGCCAGGGATTCAGGGGATGCAGTAGTAGAAACCAATTGACTGAATAAGCATGTGGGTGAAGACGGCAAGGAGAAGGAAGGTATAGGGTATCGGAGGCGAGATGATATGAGGACATACGCTCGGTTTGCAGCTTGTCCTCACTATCATACCTATCCTCGAATTATGCAATATGGCACCCGGCCAAGAATATAGTGTACAACTTAGTCAGTGTAACGTCCAACTAGTAGGCACGAGATGACTGTGTATTATGAGGCGTCTCATGTCTGAAGTCTATCGTGTCGTCGGCTCGCGACATTGTTCAACCCTTGTTCTGTTCTACTTTATATTTCGCGATTTAAATCCTCAGAGTAATGCACATAGCTAGGTAATTGTTGGGGGCTCTAGAAACTCATAATCTCCATGATGGATAGTCTTGGAAGTCGAGTGATGAGCGCGCTGGTAATGTTGACTTTGAAGACGTCGTTTACTTTGCGAAAGCAAGTTACAGAATAAGAGGTAAACCTGGTATGGCTGGAAGGTAGGGTGTCTCTTGCATGTGTAAATAGTGGATAGAAGTAGTTGCAGCCATACAACGCCTGGAAATGAGGGCGAGGAAGGGCAAGAAAGAAGCTGGTCGTGGAACAGAATCGCAGATGGCTGGGCATCATGAGATGCACTATATTATGGGCTTGCGGCTCCCACTTCCAATTTCTTATCATGTACTGCGTCGTACTCGAGCTATCATTAGTCAACGACTGCCAAAGCATCGGTCAACCGTGTCACAGCCTGTATCCGAGCGGGATCAAATTGCCAGCCCGCGGACTTTGTGCATTTGGCTGTCTTTGGTTCCTCTTGCTACATAAAACATCCCATTCAACGCTTTCGGCGCGTATCCTCACCTCGCCCCCCCCCCCCTCGCCTCTCCCTCTGCTCCCCGACAACGGCACAGTCCAGCAGAGCCAGTTCGCAGCCTGCGGAATCATCCCCGAGCCCCCGTCAAAGAGCCATGGTGGCCCAAGGCCCTACATCTCTCGGCAGTATCTTCGCCCTCGATGTCCACCACGATATCTTGCTCAAGGTCTACGACAATCTCCCACCTGCAGACGCGCTAGCCGTTGCACAGGTCAGCTCATTCGACTCTTCGCCGACGGACTTTTGCTGACTCAAATTCAGGCTTCAAAATTCTTGTACTACACCTACTCTACATCCCCCCATCTCCAGCTCGCCAATCGGCTAGGCCGCTACTCTTGTCCCGCCTCTGCACCCTTCCTCCACCCCACACATCCGACGAGCTCTGCCGAAAAGATCGCTCTTCTGGAGGACCGCGAGCACAGGCTGAATTGCTTCAGGCCGCGGTCCTTGGACACGCTGGAGAAGGATGATGGACAGCTGGTGGACTTTGAAGGAGGGTTGATGCTGTTTGAGTGCAAGAGAAGCGGTACGAGCAAGCGGAAAAAGATGTTTGATCCAAATTACGTCTCTGGCGAGTCTGATGATTCGGATTTTGAAAGAGGGAGCGAGGGCGAGGAGGAAGGAGAAGCAGGGGAGCTGAGGATAGATGGGCCGCCGGAAGAAGAGAGTATCAGGGACGACGAGTCAGATTGGGACGACTACACCTCCGACTCCTCATACGAATCCCATCACCACTACTGTACCGACGAGGCGTGCCCTCGCAAGCTGTTTGCTGGCGTCCCCGGTCAGGCTCTTCAAGAAGCTCTCGCCTTCTCCACCGATGCGCCACACCTTACGGAAATGACAGATGGGTGGGAGGTTTATCGCGTCAAGGGCGCTGCTTCAGACGCAGATGCGGAGAGCAGAGGGGCAGTGAAGGATCAGGGGCTGTGGAGGTGGAAGACGGATCTAGGGACAGACTATCACTATATTGCGATGTGTGCAGAGGATAATGTCGTGGCTGTTGTGTGAGTGAGCTCTGTTTGGAAAGCAAAGGCGAAACTGACGAGTTGATAGACATAAAGGCGCGTATTTCCCCCATGGTCCCAACCCCGAGACTTGTGCCCTCTCCATGCGCGTCTTTTTCTACACCCTCGTCCCTCCCATTGGCACAGCACCTCCCGAGAACGGCGACTCTATTCCAGCAATCCCACATCCTGAAGCAAAGCTGCCATTCATCGAGGTGCTTATACCAATGCCGATGGGGGGTGTAGGGACGGGCTTTGCGTTGGGCGCAGGCGGGCATATGAGTTTGTTGTTGAGCAATCAGGAGCAGGACAAGACGGTGTTTGCGGGATTCTGGGATTGGAAGAAGGGTGTTTCGCTAGGGGTGAGTGATGACGAGCATAGTGTCTGATCGGTACTGACGACGTGTAGGCTCTTCCGGGCGCTCTAGACCCCACCAGCGTCATTACAAGCGTCGGCTTCCTGGGGCCTTTTGTCATTGCGTCCACGTCTAGCAAGATACCCGCCTTTCTCAGAGCCGACCTTTACGCATCGGCGCTGGAAAAGCTCGAAATCCCCGGCCCACACCCCGCCTCGGAAGGCTACTTTTTGCAATTGTCCTTTACAACCTACACCCTTCTCCCAGCATCTTTGGGCTTCCCCCCGCACACACCCGATCCCCCTGACCAGAACCCGTACGCGGCGCCTTACCCCGCCATGCCGTGTTCGTGGCACATGGCGGCGATACCGCACGTCTTTCCCGCAGGCATCTTTGACCTGCCATTCCACGACTTGGTGCCGTTCACGCTCGACAAGGTGTACCAGCCTGGGAATTTCTCGATTGCCGAGTGTGGGTATAGCGAGGATGTGCATAATGGGCAGTTGGAGGGGGTTTTGTCTTGGCGATTGTCGGGCAGGACGAGCGTGGTCAACCTGAATACCATCCTCGACGTCTCCACCGCCTTCACCCTCGCCCGCATGACGGGCAAGCTCCCGAGGAAGCGCATATTCCGAAACAGCTTTCCGGCAGTCCCTGACATCAGGATTGCGCAGAGCTTGCCCATAGCAGATCAAGTCAGACTTGCAGCCCGGTTCATGGCGCACTTTGAGTACGGAGATTGGATTGGCGCGGATGGAAAGTGGGTGAAGAGGGATGTAGGTCGGAAAGCGGTGGCGCCGGCGGTGAACCGAAAGTTGATGGGTAGCAGGAGAGGGAGAGGGAAAGCGGCTGCTGTAAGGAGAGCCTTATTTCAGCCCGGAGACTCACCTCTGGGGGCGGCATGGCTAGAATACAGATCCACTCACGGCTACGACACGGACAACTTTGGCAACACGTTTGCGTACCCCGACTCCGTCCCGCGCCACTCTTTCCAGACCCATCCGAATACGAGCCACCTGCGTATGGAGTGTGCGCCCGCTTTCAGCTCGGTGTATGGCGCGAGGGAGGCGAGGCTGGTGACGACGCTTCTGGGGGACGAGCTGGATGAGACTGGAAAGGTGGCGCTGGGGGAGAGGTATGAGAGGATTTCGTTTGTGTTGAGTTTGAATGACTATAATGGGCGGACGGTGGTGTTTCCTGTGCCGCATATTGAGGCAAGGCGGGAAAAGGTTGAGCGAGAGGCGAGGGAGCGGGTGCAGAAACTTTCCGCCAAAGCTCGAGCCAAAGATCAACAAACCATCATCTCCCACACCCACCTCACCACCAGCTCCGACTCTGACAGGGAAATATCTGTTCGCCTCCACCGCGACCCGCGCTCCAAGGAACTCGCAGTGTATGCGAAAGAGTCGTATATGTACGAGCGGACGTCGTATCCGAATGAGCAGGCGCCGGCGGTGTTGGAGATTGATATGGATTTGAGGATGATGCCGCGGGTGAAATTTGATGGGAATACGGTGCTGCTGAGTGGGTTTACGGTGAGTCTCGATAGTAGCAGCTTTGGTTGATGACTGACTCGTGTGTATAGTCGGGGGCGATACATGTGCTTACGTTCTAGTGATGTGCTATGTCTATACTGTGACTTGTGGCTCAAGTATCATGTATCTGCATCATCGTTTCTGTCTAGACCGTCCGCCATACCATCCTGAACGAGTACATCGACAATGACACTAACGGCGATGATGATTTATGAGCCTGCATGGAGCACTTCTTGAGGAGAGACTAGACGTGGGAGAAGGGCAAATGATTTTTTCCATGTAGCTTGCCGCATGCCGCATGTACGAGGGTTATATGATGGGAACGTGGAGAAGCGATCGATTGGACTGGGCATCATCCAGGTGCATCCCTGGCAGGGAGGGCGCTTGCTGCCCCGGAGGCGGCGTGGCCTACTATTAGCCTGGGTAAGGGAGTCGGCCGACAATGATGGCGAGTAGAGGGCAAGAGTATAAGGAGGATGGGTCGACCATAGAGATTGAATAGAGATTGAGGAAGAATAGTTGGGCACTGTTGATGAATCTAGAAGCGCTTGCCATTGAGGCCAAAGATATTCTGAGCTTCGCAGCAGCAAAAATACTTTATATGTATACCTTCTTTCACCAGCCTCGATGTGTCCTTAGAGTAACGGTCTGATGAACAAACTGATGACGGAAGATGGGTTAGTGATGGTGGAGCATAGCAAGTCGTCATCGCAAGCAGCCCTCATGCCGACGCGAGCAACAGAGCACACCTAGAACGAGTGCTGCATGGATCATGGATCTACCTTATCACTGCACCAAACAGCCGCCACCAAGTCCGCGTTGCTTCTTATCTGTTTTCTGCTTCGCTACTAACAGTATATTCAGGATGTCAGACTGTGTGTCCGACCCCATTCGCGACTGCCATATTGAAGCTCTACCTCTAAGCCCCTCAAGTTCCTTTTCAACAATAAAACGTCAGCCAGCTGTGGAAAGGACGCGGGTGTCGAGTCTACAAGAAGGGATATTCAGGTAACTAGCGATCAACTCACCCTGTGCTGAAGGATCAAGCTCACTAGCCTCTCTTCCATACGGCGAAAGGCATCGGCAGCTAGATTCACCTTTTTGTCCAGAATATCGAAGTTCCCCCGGGGCTTGAGACGAGCGACTTCCAGCCGAGAGAGATGATCCAAGATAACAAGGCCCTCCCTGCCCCAGTGGTCGTCAGCACATAGCTCCTGATAAATGACAGTGGGGCCAGTACGAGGGCAGAGGGACTCACGATGATACAGAGTCGAGTAGAGTGTACAGCTCAGGGGACAACTTACCATGCTCCCCGTGATAGGAGAGGATTTCCTGACAGAGTACGATGGAGACATCCAGGTAAGACTCAGCCTGAAGGGACATTGATCAGATCGCAGTGAAAGTCAAATGTTTTTTTTTGGGAGACTCACGAGGAACAAGAGTGCGATAGGTAGAATGTTGCGCCTATACGCGTACTTCTCACAAACGTCTTGGACCCTATGAGCCCAGAGCTTGAGTGCTTGTATGCTTCCTTCGCTCTCGGTTAGAAACAAATCCAATGGGACCTTCTTGAATTGGTCGTCGAAGTCTATCTTCTTGGCGACACAGAACTTTTGAGCGTCGACCAAACTGGTTTGGTACACATCGCTGGAGCACCAATAAACGGCAAGGGACTTTGGATGCGGCGATGAGGAAGGCATTGTCGAGATGGCAAGTGAGCTAGTGTAAGTGGCGAGATTGTGAGAAGGGGCATTGTGGGGTTTCCCATGATACCATTTGAACTATAAAAACAGAACAGACAATACTCGTGGTATCTGTGTCAGACCCTCCATCAGGTGGCTAACCGCATGTACGGGGGCCATTCCCAACACAGTTTTTGGGATGATTATATGAACGTGGAGAAGCCTTCGATGGAACAAAGATTCATATGCATGAACGCAAATCAACAGCGTGCATGAAAAAAACACGGTTTACATGCCCCGGAGGTGAGGCTTATTACATGCGTATACAAGTAGGTGAAAACAGATAGCTGTCGGACCCTCTTTTCCGGCACCAACGCCTTTTCTCTATCGTCATCGATGTCTGCTCTATGCCGGTGGTGCCACCTCGTGGGTCTGCTGACATGGTCTGCACTGGCGCAAGCATCTCAATGATCTGAAACGTTACATAGCGCGGTCCTTTGTGCTTTGTGGCGGTGTTGCTGCGCCACGATTCGATCATCCTGTCAGCGTTGCGCTGTAGATAGCCGACTAGCACATAAGCGACTTACGGCGGAAGCTTACGGCTTACCAGCAGGGTTCGGCAGCAGGCCGCAGGGTTCTCGAGGAGTCCTATATTGTTTTTGCCTGAACTGCGTCATGCAGTACTACGCCATGCAGTACTACGCCATGCATATGCAACATATCACTACGCCCATTGCTGTACAACCTTGATTCTCTCTCAATTTGTTATATCGCCACGCGTGGAGTCCTTACAGCACCAGAGCCCAAGCGAGTCTCAATGCTTTCGAGCAGGCCTCGGCCTCATGCTTGCAATCATCCGTGTGCCGTTGACCATTCCCAAATCTACCTCATCGATTTGGATCCTCGGGGCTGGTTTCCAAAAAATGCTTCATTTTCCAACCTCCCACCAACGACCCACATCACGCCCGTCTCGCATCCGCCGCCGATCCGCCTCTCATGATCTTGATGATCCTGCAGTGTGAATGAAAGTCATATCTGCTGCTGAATCCTTTCATCACCGTAGTACTTTTCTGGTTGGTGTCTCAAATTTATCAGAAGTATTTTGCTAATTGTTCTAGAATGAGGATGATGCGTCCTCTTCCGAAGACGAATGTGAAGATGATGAGACCAAGGAAGAAATAGGAGAGGATGGAGACAACCCAATTGAAGTCGTACATCGTATATATGTCGTTTCCATGCTTACTATTTCTAACACGATATGATACATAGTGTCGTCACACATTTGACCTAATGCTATTGCCTCACATACCCTCTGCTGACCGTCTTGCCAATCTCTTCTCCAGATACGCTCGGACGACTTCGAGTTCCTAGTTGAAACAAGTCTCCTAGCGCACTGGTCGGCCAGACCAGTCAGCATGCCCTGGCCGATCTTGACTCTCATATTCTCCAAGGTCACTTTCCGTGCTCTTTTCCCTCCGCACCAGCAGGATCATTCGACATGGCCGGTATCAACGCAGAGCGGGTTGCAGCCTTTTGCGACGCTTGCTCCAGCTGAATGCTCGTACAGTCACCAGGAAGAGGGGCTTTTCATTACCTTCTTCGCGGGCATATGTCAATTGAGCATCAGGAGAGAGGAGCAGAAACAGACACCAGGTCAGTCCTGGGTCAGTCGCATCCTGCTTCTGATGCCCCGCCTCCCCCTCATTGTGCCCACTCGCCTTTTCCAGGGTTTTCAGACTCATCTTCGATAGTAAAAGCATGTACCCTGCACCGGGTGTTGTTGGAGTTGGAGTTCAGTAGCTAGAGTGACGTGCGAGGTTACGTAAGGCGACGGAACTATTCTAGACGAAATTGTTGGCTGGCGGTACTTTCTTCCATAGCTGGTGTACAGATCTGCTTCTTCATCTTATCAGGTGTTGAAGTGCTAAAGACTGTATACCAGGTACGTAATGCATTCATCTTACCAGGTGTTGAAGTGCTAAAGACTGTATACCAGGTACGTAATGCATTCATCTTACCAGGTGTTGAAGTGCTAAAGACTGTATACCAGTCTTCGACAGGTGTGGTCCTGCCTGCGCATAGCACTTGACAACTACGCTGCTACTTCGACCATCTTCCAAACGTTGCGAAGACAAGCTTGCAGGCTGGTCAACAGGCCACAGACCGCGCGGGAAAAGGCAGTTTAGTACGTGAGTCGTGGCCACAGAGTGCAAGTTGGAATGCATAAACATGTTGTTGCAGATGTATGTCGTTTTCGGTGTTGGAAGCAGCGTGCGGTGGTGTCGTTGATGATTGATATAAACACTCTTTCGTCAAAGGGTCCGCCACCCCGCCACCCCAGCTATACAACAACCCTCCCTTTCCTTCAGCCATCCTTTCCCTTGCTGCCTGACCAAAATCTCGCTATGTCCTTCAGCCTGGACGACAACGGCAACCCCGACGAGCTCAACTTCGACAACGATAGAGACGTCAAACTCCAGAAAGCAGCAGGCAGAACTATCGATCTTGTCGCCTACGCCGAAAAGACAGGATTTTCGGCCGCCGAAACTGCCGGGATGGTGCCGGCCGGTAGTGTATTCGGTGACCTTGTCGCCAATTGGTTGGGAGAGGTCAAGGAACTCGGCCAAAACAAGTTTCAAGCAAACAACCTGGTAAGCACTACGTTTTAGGATTCGTACACGAATTAAGCTGACTACTTGCGTCCAGATTCATTATGTCCAGCGGCAGTACCAGAAGAAAGTCGACGGCGCCTATGACGCCCAGCTAGCAATGGATATTCCGAATTTCCGCGAAGCCGTACAAAAGGCCAAACATCATTTGCACAGGTGAGCCAGCTTGAAGAACCAACAGTACAACCCCAGCCGAAGAAGGGTACACTGACCAGTTTCGTTCAGGGGATTGCAAGTCCAAGTTCTTGCGCTTATACATATTATCAAAACTTCACTTAAGAAGAGCCTCACCCACATATTCAAGCGCCATGAGAGGGTAGGGGAGGTGAGGGAAAACATCGATGTCCTGTTCAGCAAGTGGGATGTGAGTCCAATAGCCTGCCTCCATTCAGTCTGCTGACATTGCTATCATGTAGACTGCGATGAACATCAACTTGAGACTTGCCACTGGAGCTGGTAATAAGGGTTCCCGATCCAATGGGGGGATGGCCGGTCAGCTCTCCACGGAGAGTCCCAACAGTCCAAGTGAGCAGAATGAACGTCGTTGTCAATTTGATGAAGGGCTAATATGATCTCAACAGTGGATCTCGCCCTGACACCAATGAATCAACCCTCCATCGTCTACAAAGCAGCTGTGGGGGAGCTTGATCCCCGTACGGAGTTTAAGGAGGGCATGAAACTCCTGAACGACGTCCACGAACATCGGCGACAAGTACAGGAGGGCTACGACACAAACCAGGCCGTCAACAAACGCTTGACGTTGGTGGGCGAGGCGGACGACGAGCGCGAACAGGAGGCAATGGCTATGCTGCACAAAGCCCCCTGGAAAGAAGATTTCCAATTGGCCGGCGCTACTGCTGTTGTCAAGAAGAAGCCTGCTGCCTCTTCCTCCAGCAAGCACGACGTTGGCTAGAATGCTTCTTCTCTAACCTTTTCGGTGAGTTCAGTTGTTCCAGTCCAAGTCATCCAGCTACTCGAGCTTACGCTACTTTTGCTGCCTTAAGGGGTCGCAAGTACAACTGCAGTCAGCGTGTCACCCTCCTTGCTCTCAGCTACCTCACTTGTTGTTGTTGATAAGAAGGGAAGATGCCTATATTGTGATGCCTATCTATAGTATGAAAACCATGTCACGGTTTCTATCCTACATATTGCATTGTTCCAGTGTGGTGTCAGCCGCTCACCTCTGCAGCAAAAGCCCCCGAGAGCATTTCCATGCGATGAATCTCTCCGCGTCGTTGAGCGAGGTCACCACCCCTCTATACCTAAATCATATCTTTATCTTATACATGACCAACCAGGTCGCTCCGGGCAAGGCATATAAATGACGGTGGCCACGAAGCCTTTGCCGGCTTCACACACGAGTGGCGTTTTTCCCCAGCAACAAGAACTCGGCCATAGCCGCATCCTCCTCTCGTGATCATCATCATGTTTTCGACCACAGTCTTGAGCCTAGAGCATCGCGTGGCAAACGAAGGGATATCTTCTTAGCAGTTCGAGGAGACAATTACTCGCTCTCTCAGTGTCCTATAGACTATTACTAAAAGTCAAGCAGTTTGGCTGGCCGGCCTATGTACGGGGGCGGGCCGGGCATGATGTGCTTTGGTGGCCACAGCCAGGCGCCGAGTCAGACATAGAAAACGCAGCAAATCGCAGCAGTGACCGTTATTTGCTCATCTTTCATGAAATCTCCCACTAGGACCTCCAGCAGAGGTCACGCCGACGAGTCTTGACGCTATTGATGACATGTTGGGTGTCTCAGGCGAAAGTGACAATGCTTGGTACGCGTTACTTAAGTGCAATGTGGCCGGGCATTTGAGGGGGGGGTGTGGAGATGACGCTCGGTTGGCGGCGGTGTGCATGCATCTGTATCCTCTTTCTCATCAGCCTCTCTGCCATCTCCCCTCGCCCGCACACCTGCTGGACAGCCTGTCACGAACTAGCTGGGACGCAGCAGGGAAGTAACTGGAAAAGGGTTTCAAAGAGGGGAAAAGACCTTTTCGGTATTATCGCATAGAGAAAGAGTAGAACAGTAGGATATGAATTGAGTATATACACCGCGCGTCCTTCAACCATCCACACAACTCAGCGCTCATGCCACTTCAGGGAATTACTCCGTGTGACACAGCCAGAGTAGACGAATATTCGCCCCCCGCGCCGCCGCCCACGCACTCTGTCGGTTTCAAAGTCGCTTCGTCCACTTTTCGAGTCCTATCTTGTTCCTCCATCTGTATACATCGCTCTCCATCTCAGGCAGCCCTAAGGGCTCTCAAGCCTAACCTCCAATACCGCCCCCGGATCCCCAGCGGCCAGGGCCAAAAAACGATAGCAAGACCCAGAATGATGACGTTGATCCCAACGACAACAGTCTAGTACTCTTGACCAACAAAAAGAAGAACAAGGGAACATCCCCACGTCCCTCATATCACTCATCTCGCAATGTACTTGTAAATTGATAGATGCATTAGATAGATTCGATCCGCAAGGGGGAAGAGACTTGCAACTGAAGTCCGCAAAGCCGGCTCACTAGACAGCGACGGGTTGTCGGATAGTTATTCATAGGGCGTTCAACAAACATGGCATATCTCTTCACCCCCCAAGGCCTTGATAAACATGCGTGCCGCCATCGCACTGGTCAACAACCCCTTTCCGAATAAACATGATACATCTTCCATAGAGTACTCCACAACCCTACTTCATCCCCTTCCCCCCCTCAAACCCAGGTCTCCCCCCCTTCCCCTTCCCTCCTCCACCACCACTCTCCCCCCTTCCCTCCCCCACTCCCCCCCTTCTTCCCCCCACTCCCTCCCTTCTTCTTGTCGGCAGATCCATCAGCCCGCTTGTTGCGTTTATCCTCAAGACGTTTGGAAAGATTGTCGTTTCGCTTCTTGATGGCGATTTCGGATGATTTTTGGAGTTCTCTCTTACGCTCAGACCTGGGTTGTTGCAGTCAGTTGACGTGTTGGGGGGGTATGGCGAGAGAAAGAGGGGTGTAAAAGGGGGCGAGGGGGAACGGGAAAAGGGAGGGGAAGAAAGAAAGCTCAAACTCACCATTCCTTCCCGCTCTTCGCCTTGCCTTTCTCCTTCCTCTTGACGGCATTCTTCAAAGCCTTCTCCCGGTCCGCATCCTTTCCCCCACTAGCCCTCTCCTCCGATTTCGCCCACCTCTTCCTCTCCTCCGCCTCCTTCCTCTTATCCTCCGGCAACGCCGCCAACTTGGCCTTCTTCTGGTTTTGCAAATGCGCCAGCACCTGCGACGGGTTGGCGATCCGCTTGTACTGCGATTTCGGTCCTGACGACGACGAGGGGAGTGATTCCGACGGGAACGAGAGCAAGAATATCTGGAAACAAAAGTTAAAAGATAGCTTGTATCACTTGGGGAAGTTAAAGTTGTGGTAAGGAACTACCTAATTAGATGCACGGCTGAAAGAAGAATCAGGTCTTCAGCGTAATGTTTGCATCGGGAATGGATTGTAACATCAAGTGGTAGTTTCTAACCTCTTCTCTTGGAAGTCAGATTGTAATCTTATGCAATGTCCGATTCAAATGCCCAAGAGTCATGCAGCGATGCGCTGAACTCATATATCGTCACCCGCGTACATGAGCCCCCCTCCGCTATCTCCCGTCTCTGATGAGAAGCATGCGCCTAGCCCGGCTGATACACCCATCTGAAAAATCAGCACACTATATCTGTAAAATGCACCACATCATGATTTTCATCCTCATCATTTGCTGGAAACTTGCTATCCTCTCTCCTCCTTCAACGACAAGTCGGATCGTCAGACTAGACATCGTGCCTCCAATCAAAATCAAAATTGAACAGTGCGCCGTTGGCATCTTCAAGCACAACTGTCCCATGATTATTCATAGCGGCCCAAGACTGCCTTGCTGTGTCTTCCAGTACTAGCTCAGGCGGAGCATCAGCCACATCGTGATCGATATGATCCTGATCATGACGACTTCTGTTCGGCTGCCAAAGACCCCCGGTCAGAACTATCATCCTGGCTCCGTAATCATCCCAAACAACCGTCGCCTTGCTCCCGAGAATTGTTCTATCCATGTGAATCCTTGAAAGATCTGACATACGCTTGAGATAGACATGCGTAGCTTCATTTGCGATGTCGGCATCTTGGTCAGGACTTATCCCCAGTTCTGGAGGGGTGAACGCTTTGATCCAATTGTCTCTAACCAACTGACTCTTTAGAATGGAAATTACGTGTGTTCTTGCGAGTTTGGCTGTGATCTGCTTCACGTCGTTCTCCGTATATGCCGGCACCTCATCATCATCCTCCGCTGCAATATGAGCCGCAGCAAAGCTCATCGCTTGGGTAAGATCTTTTTCGACAGTTCCAAGAACATCTCCATAGAGACTCTCAATCGTATTCATGAGGGAATTGTACATCTCCGGATAGGAAACAGTGATGTATTCGTTTTCAGTCCTGGTGTCCTGGCTTTCCCTGAATCTGGCGAATGCACTCTCAATGTCCCTCAGAGTACGTGCTGTCTCAGATGGGTCGCGGGTAGGGGGACGAGCCGGATCTATCTGCCACTGTTGATGGCGTCATTAATAGATGTTTACCAGGTAACAACGACACAGAAAAACAGTCACTAACGTGATTGCGAACGAACGGTTCCTTCCAGGTGTTCACACCATCTTCTCTATATTCAGGAGGATCATAGTCAAGTTCGGTATTCAGAGTGATAATCTCGTTTGCTTTGGGTCGACAAGATACAGTTTGTTTGCTGACCCCCTCCGACTTGTATTACGTCCCTGTAGGAATGACGAACCGGGATTGAAAGGAGGGGTCGGTATCGTTGTCCGGCGTTCTTGTAATGTGTCGTTATTGTAGTAGGGGTTAGAAGAGGCAGTGGGATATGATGTACAGTAGGCACCTCGTTATACCGATGACGCTGCTGAAATAACTTTGCAGCTTTGCCCGAGAGGGTCTCGAAACAACAATTTGTCATAATGGCCCCCTTGTTCTTACTGCGGGCGGGTTGATGAGCGAGGAAGCGGCGATGGAATGGAGTTGGAGGAAGTGTATGGAGAAGCAGGTGTGGCATGGGATGCAGAGTAGAGTTGGAGTGGAGCTAGTGAAGGCGCGAGCGAGGACGTTGTGGATGTGAGGAGCACGGAGAGAGGCAAGAAGGTTTTTTATCGACTGGTATAGGCGCGACTGTCTTTTTCCTTCATTACGACATCGTCTTGCATAGAGCCAATGAGTTATACAATCTCCATGTATCTCTCTTCACCCCGCTAACGCGGCGTTTGGGCCAGTGCCGGTTGAGGTGGATCCGGGGAGTTTGCAAGAGGCTGGAGGGTTGAGCTTGGTCTATGAGCCTGGGGAAGGGAGTCGATCGACGATGATGGCGGGCAGAGGGCAAGAGTATGAGGAAGATGGGTCGACTATGGAGATTGAGGATGAATAGTTGGGCATTGTTTTGGAAGTAGAGTTCTTTGTCGACCGAGGCTAAAGATAGTGTGCTGTGAGACACTACGCAGCAAAATCAGCTGTATACATTCTTTCACCAACCCCAAAGTGTTCATGAACAACGACTATGAACACTATCTCTTTCCCCCTCGACTCCCCCCTCCGCGCCCTCCTCCACCTCGACCGCCCCTTCCTCCTCGCCCACCCCTTCCACCCCGACTACTCTCTCTCCGCCTCTCAAAGTCGCCATTGACACCATCAATCTCGCCCTTTGTCAACTTTAGCATCCCCCCAGCAAACCTTCCGACGCCCATCCCCAGACCTCGAGCTCTGTCTTCGTCGCCCTTCTTCCGGCTTTCCATACCCTTCTTTTTGCCCGTCTCCATACCCATCATTGCTCGTTGCGACCCCTTGCCGCCAGAGCCAGAGCCAGAGCCAGACTTTTTGAGCCCCTCGCCCAAGCTGCTCATACCGCGGACGTTGTTGCCCGACTCGATCGCCTCCTGCCTCTTCGCCTTATCCCTCGCCTCCTGCTTGTGCACCATCCCCGTCCTAATCTTCGCCGAATGTTTGCTCAAGTGCTGCGTCTTCATCACCTTGCTCCCCTCGCCAGGCAGCTCGTAATTCGCAAGCTCGAGGAGTCTGGCGGACATGGCGTTGCGTTTGTCGACGGGGCGGGAAGCGAGGGAGGCGGCGTGTTCGGGGAGGAGGGAGTTGAGGAGCATGGAGTGGAGGGATTTGTCGAGGGAGGCGGCGGTGGTGTCTTCGTCGTCTTCTTCTGCGGTTTGGCGGGAACGTTTGCGGGAGGGGGGGTAGTCGGGGGTGGAGGTGATGCCCATCATTTTGGTAGAGTTGCCGGTCTGAAAAAAGTCGTTAGGTTGGCGCATGGTGACGCCTGACGAGAAGACTTACGAGGAAAGCACGGCGCTCGGCTTTGGAGAGAGTAGAGGAAGAGGAAGCACTGGGTTGGTCAAAAACGACGACTGGTACATTTGAGGTCTCGGTAGGGGGGGCTGTAGGCTTTAATTTGGTTGTGGGAAGTTGGGCTAAAATCATGGGGTCAGCAGTGGACGATAGTCATCAATACTAAGCACGTACGGGCAAGCTCATCCTCGCTATCGCTCACAAACCCATCCTCGGCTCCCCATCCATCATCACTTTCAAAGTCTTCTCCTTCTCCCTCGTCGTCTTCTGCCTCTTCTCCACTTGACTGATCTAAGCTATCGTCCGGGGGGTTGTTGGGTTTGGAAGGTGGGGAGAGAGGAGGGAGACCGAGTAGAGCTCGAGAGTGGGCCTCGAGAGCTGCTAGTTGGGCGGCCTTACGTGCTTCCCCATCGTCCTCTCCGTCGCTCTCGTCGTCAAAGCTGCCGTCGTCCGAGTTGCTATCCGCGACTGTGGCTCTCTTGACAGGGCGGTCTACTTGCTTGCCCTTTCCTTTGGCGGGGGATTTGTTGGTTGTGCGCTTCATTGTGATGGATCGTCAGACACAGACAGACAATCACAAATCTGGAACCTCCACCTCTCGGCCACCGAGAGTATTAGCGGAACCAAATCCCCATTACAACTCCTATAAGCGCACATCGCCGCCCTCAACCATCTCCAAGTCACGTGGTCTGTCTTCAAGATTTCATTTCGTCGTCCTCTGCTTTCCAGTCTCAAAACAACAGCAACATGTCGGCGACAACCCAAGAGATCCCTGCCGAACTGTATTCGTCTTTGGAGAAGCACGATGCGGCCTTCACCCAGCTGCTCTCCCTCATCCCCGCCCAGTACTATATCGCCCTTGCCCCGGAGGAGGTGAGTATCTCGCATACGATGGTGTGCTGTTGCTGATGGGGAATGCAGGCCGACAACAAGTGGATGATCAACAAGAAGAGAAAGACTGGAGAGGAGCTCAAGGAGAGTAAGAAGAAGTCCAAGCACGCCAAGGTACTTCTTTCCCGGGGGGGTGTGGTACTATACTCGAAGCAGTTTGCTGACCAAAATCTAGCTTGACCCTGCCAACAACCGTACCACCGTCGAAATCCTCGCCCAAGGGTCTGGCGCCGCCCCCGCCCTCACCCCCCTCCCCCCTTCCGCCTCCATCTCCGAACTGCGAGCCAAGCTCCAAATGCGTCTCGACCACTTCAGACGCAACCGCGCTGCCGACGCCGGCGACTCGTCTTCCTTCTCCACCGGCGCGGCTGCCCAAGGCGAGGATGCTGCTTCCCGAGACGCGTTGGAGCAGGAGCAGAGGAGAAAGCGGGGAGAGATGAGGGATAGGAGGAGGAATGAGAGGAAGGAGGAGAGGAGGAAGGAGAAGGCGGAGAAGGATGTGAAGAAGGAGAAGAAGGCGGCGCAGAAGGGCCCGGCGGACGTTTCTGCCAAACCCGCCAAAACGCAACTGATCGTCCCCCAACTCCCCGCGCACCAGGAAGACTCGCTCTCGTTCCCTTCAGTCTCCCTCCCCTCGTCGTCGTCGGGGCCGAAATCGCAGTACAAGCGTATCGCCAACCCGTCGCAGGCGCTGGCGCATTTGGAGAACCAGAAGGCCAAGTTGGCGGCGTTGCCGGAGGAGAAGAGGAAGGAGGCGGAGGAGAGGGAGAGGTGGGCGAAAGCGGAGGAGAGGGCTAGTGGGGGAAAGGTTGCGGACCAGGAGAAGGTTTTGAAGAATGCTGTCAAGAGGAAGGAGAAGGGCAAGGCTAAGAGTGGAAAGGAATGGTGAGTTTGAGTTTGATTTTCCGACTTTTGAGCGTCCCCCTCTTCCTCTCGCTGTATACCCACGACGTGTCGGCTGACTCAATACCCAGGTCCGAGCGTAAGAGAGAACTCCAAAAATCGTCCGAAATCTCCATCAAGAAGCGAAACGACAACCTCGCCAAACGTCTTGAGGATAAACGCAACAAGCGGGCTGGTGGATCTGCCGACAAGAAGAAGGGAGGGAGTGGGGGGAAGAAGGGGGGAAGTGGGGGAGGAGGGAAGGGAGGGGCGAGTGGGGGGGCGAAGAAGGGGGGGAGGCCGGGGTTTGAGGGGGGGAAGGGGAAGAAGTAGAGGTGTATGTTTATGGGGGTGTTGGGGTATGGGAGATGTATCATATTATTCGAAACGTGCTTCTGTGCGAGGGCGGCACGTATGTTTACCAAGGTCGAGGCCGATACATTTAAGTCTTGCTCATTGAACGCCCTACAAAGAACTATCCTCCTTCTTTCTCGCCGTCAAGTGACCCTTCTATGCGACTTCTACTTGCAAGTCTTTTCCCCCTTGCGGATCGAATCTATCTAATTCGTCTATCTATTTACAAGTATATTGCGAGATGAGGGACGTGAGGATCTTCCCTTCTTGATCAAGAGTACTGGGTGTCGTTGGGATCAACATCATCGATCTGGGTCTCGGATCCGGCGGAGGTATTGGTGGTGCGTCGAGAGCCCTTGGAGCCGCCTCGGATGGAGAGCGAATCCATGCCACTGGAAAGTCCCAATATGCTGTACTAGGTGGCGATAGCGATGTATACAGATGGAGGAACAAAATAGGAATTGAAGAGTGGACGAAGCGATTTTAAAATTGACCGAGTGCTTGGGTGCGCAATTCGTGGTCGGGCGGCGGCGCGGGAGGCGGATATCTTCTGCTCTGGCTGTCCAGCGGGTGTGCCGGCGAGGGGAGATGGCAGAGAGGCAGATGAAAAAGAGGATACAGATGCAGATACATGCGCACCGCCGCCGCTCCATCGATCACCGGAACTGATCAAATACCCGGCCACATTGCACTTACGGAAGGCACCCCATGCATGGTCACTTTCGCCAGAGACACCCAATATGTCATCAACAGCGTCAAGACTCGTCGGCGTGATCTCTGCTGGAGGTCTTAGTGGGAGATTGCAAGAAAGATGAGCAGATACCGGCCACTGCTGCGATTCGCTATGTTTTCTATTATGTCTCCGACTTTGGCGCCGGGCTGTGGCCACCAAAGCACATCATCGTACTGCGTGACTTCTAGTAACTAGTCTATAGGACATTAAGAGAATACTTTTCACCTCAAGCTTTTAAGAAGATATCCCTTCGTATGCCACGCGACGCTCTAGGCTCAAGACTGTGGTCGAAAACATGATGATGATTACGAGAGGAGGATGCGGCTATGGCCGAGTTCTTGTTGCTGGGGAAAAACGCCACTCGTGTGTGAAGCCGGCAAAGGCTTCGTGGCCACTGTCATTTATATGCCTTGCCCGGAGGGACCTGGTTGGTTATGTAGGTAGAGGGGGGTGGTGACCTCGCTCAACGACGCGGATAGATTCATCGCATGGAAATGCTCTCGCGGGCATTTGCTGCAGAGGTGAGCGGCTGACACCACACTGGAACAATGCAATATGTAGGATAGAAACGGTGACATGGTCTTCATACTATAGATAGGCATCACAATATAGGCATCTTCCCTTCTTATCAACAGCAACAGGTGAGGTAGCTGAGGCAAGGAGGGTGACACGCTGACAGCAGTTCTACTTGCGGCCCCTTAAGCCAGCAGAAGTAGCGTAAGCTCGAGTAGCTGGATGACTCTTGGACTGGAACAACTGAACTCACCGAAAAGGTTGGAGAAGAAGTAGCCATTCTAGCCAACGTTGTGCTTGCTGGAGGAAGCGATAGCAGGAGCGCTGGCCACAAATTGAAGGTCTTCTGGCCAAGGGACTTTGTGCAGCATAGCCCTTGCCTCCTGTTCGCGCTCGTCATTCTCCTTGGACACCTCTTTCAATTGATTGTTGGCGAACTGCTGCGTGATCTTAACTTGTCGCCGTCGCTCATCCACATCGTTGAGGAGTCGCATGGCTGCCTTGGACTCCGCGTGGCGATCGAGCTCCCCCACAGCTGCTTTGTGCACGATTGAGGGTCTTTTCATGGGAGTAAGGGCGAGACGCACTGTTGCGATCATATTAGCCCTTCATCAAATTGACAACGACGTTCATTCTGATCACTTGGACTGTTGGGGCTCTCCGTGGAGAGCAGACCGGCCATCCCCTCATTGGATTGGGGGCCGTTGCTGGCAGATCCAGAGGCAAGTCTCAAGTTGATGTTCATCGCATTCTACATGATAGAAATGTCAGCAGACTGAATGGAGGCAGGCTATTGGACTCACATCCCACTTGGTGAAGAGGACATCAATCTGTTCCTTCGCCTCCCCTACCCTCTCATGGCGCTTGAATATGTGGGTGAGGCTGTTCTTAAGTGAAGTTTTGATAATATGTATAAGCGCAAGAACTTGGACTTGCAATCCCCTGAACGAAACTTGGTCAGTGTTGGATTCTGGAGTTCAGTACGCAGGACGCTGCGAGTATAGACGTATACGGTAGACAAGTAGTTACGTAA